CTCACCACAGAACAATACTGACCTTTGTAACTACAAGTGCTAAAAAAATACCTTTACTCTATCTATAAACCTAATGTGTCTCAAGCTGAGATATAAACAATTGGTAGACAATGTGCCCATCAGGACAGGAGTATTTTTCTCTAAAGAACAAATTATTTTGCATGATTCTACTGTATCTCCTTCTATTCAATCTATTATGAGGATTATATTTTCTCATAATAATTAGCCACAGCAGTTTTTCATTTTTCTAACTTATTTTCGGGATTTAATTAAGCACGAGAAATCTGTAAACAAAAGGATATCGGGTTGGTAGAATGTATGGTCATCTCATCTGGATTTTATTTCTATCATTTCTATGCTTGCCTAAAATCCTCAAAGGGAGATGGGTAGTGAACAGATGATAAGTTTTCAACTTTTAATTTATGTTCCTCCATTAATTGATAGAAAAGGAATGCTCCTTATTTTTTCAGTAAAACATGACTATAGCTTCCTTCAGTTTCTATTCAGTGCTTTCAGGAGAAGGAAGTATTGGGGCTTGTGATATATAATGGATAAAAGTGAGGTCATTTTGGGGGAATGATTACATAGACAGATTTCTCTATAATAGGCATTTGTTCAGAATTCTAGTCATTCCTGGAGTTATAACCATGATTCATAGCATATGTACATCATTATTTCTATGTTATTTGCACCCAGTTCATAAAGAATAAAAAAGACAATGATTTCTAGTGTGGATTGCGATGGTATGTTCTTCCTTTTATTTGTGCTTAACTGGAAATCCCAGAATTCCTGACTGTGTTCTTTTCATAAATCTAAAAGAGAACAGGACCATGATCCAAAAGTTAACAATGTACTTGTTTATTTAGAAGAACCTAGAGAATCCTGGCCCCAGTGAAAGAGATACTCAAACTTTTTTTTGAGACTCTAACACATGAGACTTTGATATTTAGTGTATCTTTTCTCATAATAGATATTAGGAATCATGAAAACATGAAAGCCTTTCCAAACACTTTGTTTCACTGTAGACACATACAAGAAATTCAATAATGTCTTCTGGAATTAGCAACTGTAAAAACATTAGAAAAGTACTTGACTCTCAAAGCGAGTGCTGTCAATGTCATTGCAGATGAGATGAAGTTTGCATTTCTGAAGGGATTTGAGGTCATAGTTCTATGAATATTTATCTCAGGATTGGATTGCATCCCACTTTAATAGTGTTGGTTGCAAAGTCAGGAGCTGCACACTAACCTGAAAATTCTTCAATGGGAACAGTTCAGGTAAGCATTTACTTTTAAATATCAAAGTCAGAGAAAGCCGAAAGAGGAGGTCCATAAAATGTACACATCTGGAGAAAGAATTCTACATAGAAACAGAATAGTGATGATTCAGTGAAAGACTAGAAATACTTTCATAACAATTAACAGAAATACTAAGAAAAGTGTTACTGAATTTGTATTAATTTCTGATGCATTAAATATGTAACTAGATCTCTTAGGGTGACTATAGAATATAGAAAATCTTAATAAAATCTGATGAAGATTCATCAAGGATTTCTAATTGTTTCATTTGTATGTCATCATTTATATAAAACTTCAACAAAATCTGGTATAAAGTTTTAGTGTTTATAGCAAATATTATTATTTAACTTTGCTATTCATTCATTCCTGGATGTAAATAAATAAATAAAAAACAGGATTGGCACTTCTTCAGGACTATAGCATGTTTCTAGGTAGCACTGACTGCATCCATAACAGTGTCAAGAGATGTCTCTCTCTTAAAATTCAACAGTGATAATCACTGAGATGGTTTTCTGTGCTTAAATTGGATACATGGTGTAAGAGAGGAGGTGAGTTGTCATTGCTAGTTTTATACAATTCTGGTATATGACACATCTGTCATCTGTTATTTCTCGTTGCTTAGTGATATTCTGTTTTCACGAAAATTTCAGGATTGGTTTTCCAATTGCCGTTACTGATTTTGTTGGAACTGAGAGTCTTCTGCTTCTCAGATAGGAACATAACTGCTGGGCTGCAACTACACCCAATATTTGCCTTTTTTATTCAATGCACAGATAAAATATTATCTTCACCTGATTCTACACATATGTTATTATTTAGGTGTCATTTATAAGTCTTGATTTATTTATAATAATTTGAGTTGACTTAGGGATTAGTAAAAAAGCTTTTAAACTGCAATTGGTTATACCTTCACAGTTTTTCTGTGTGTGTGTGTGTGTGTGTGTGTGTGTGTGCCTGTGTCTGCATGCAGGTGCTCTTTCCTATTTGTGTGGAAAGGTAGTTGTGTGGTGCAACTTTCTTTGCAATTCCTCAGACATGTTCTATATTTTTCTCTTTGAGTGTGGACATTTTTCTCAAAAGCAATTTCCAGAGTATGTTAGTCTTTCTTGTCAACCAGCCCCAGGTGTCCTGTATTCCTTTACAAAATCCCTAAGTGTTTATATTATAATTGCACATCAGCACAACAAAAAGTTTTATGTGAATTCTGGAGAATGTATTCATTTCCTATTTCTGGTAAGGGAAGAATTGTAACAGATTAACCAACTTCTTAGATTTTTATTACTTTAATATTTGGTCACACTCATATTTTCATGCTTTATAACAGAGACTGAATGTAACACTGACCAATAATTCATTTGATAGATAATACTGTATTTTATCCCCTTGAAATTTAAAAATATGTCTTGTGAAAAGTATATATTTTGTTTCTGATACACTCACCAAATATGACTTATACCTTGAAAGGTTTTGTAAGATTAGAACATTATTTGAGCATAACCTTTTATATAATGCCAGTTGTTGAGAATGCATGTACAGGTTATAAAGAAACATAATAGTTTGAGTACTTAAGATTATGTCAGATACAGTACTTCAGATGACAGCTTTACTTTAATTCTAGCCATGTTCCTATATCTCAAATATCCATGGTGCCCACATGGCCTTATTAATTTTGATGATGATTTTCCACACATTTTGTGTAGTCCCATATTGTCAATTAAGAGAATTTAATTGTCTATAACAAATTGTCATGGAAATCATAGAAGCTAGAACATGAACAGCATTGCAGTATAATTCATAGATTGTCACTTTTATGCAGTTCTTAATTTGAGTCTGGAAAAACTCTAAACACAACAAAATTTTTAATAATCACTTCTTAGATTTGATATGATATAGTGAGTGCAATGGCAGGTTCTTGTTAAGAATCCTTTGGCTCTGAAGATAAACGTCAGCTTTTGGACAATGTCAGGATGTTCTAGGGATGGAGAAACCAGAATTTGTGGGCAGGTATCAGGGTGAAGATGTATGCTTGGCTATTTTCCCTCTTCTCAGTATCTCTTCCTTGTTTCAATGATTGAAGTTTCAGATCCTCATGTCTGATTCTTAAACACAGTGTGTATTCTACTGCTCCAAGTTGTCTTCACATTGGATCCAGGGCCTTGTCACCATTTATGTTAGAACAAATATAAATTAATTTGAGTATTTATTTATTCCTTCACAGATATTAAATGAAAGTCACCTCATTGTGTATCACCTAGACAAAAAAAAAAAAAAACAGAACATTGGTTTATTGTGGCAATATCAGGAATCCTAATACTGAGGAAGAAAGCTTTCAAAACACTCCAATTAGTCTGAAATACAGAGAAACACAATGTTTGAACAAATTAGATCTTGCCAACTAACTTTCAATTTCAATTCATCAGATAAGTAATATGGTACTACGGGGTTATTTGAAGGAGTGAAATCGATTGGACATTGATTTATATTTCTACAGTCTTTTAGGAAGACAGAACACTCCTTCCACATGTGGTGATTTGTATGAATTGAAACTTAACCAAGAATTCAAATATTTCTCAGGTGTATTTAGTGTGTCTGAGTTTTCTAAACACATTGCTGGTTTCATGTACAACACTGAAAAGGACACCATTGGAATGAACATGAGTGAACAACTATATTTCTAAATTCATGTATGTATTCATGTCTTTGCTTTCAAATTATTACTAAAATGTAAATTATGAGCAGTGTCTATGAACATTCCTCATTAAAGTGAAGCTGTATATGTTGTGCCTACACACAGACATTCATTTGGAAATTCTTTGAAGCAATATGAACACCACAGGAAGTACCTGAAATTCAAGAGTATATCCATTCTTGCCAAAAGATGCCTATTTGAAACAATTTTTTTTAACATTTATATTTATTGATGACACCAGAAATTGCATACTCAAAGAACAGTTGAATTCTTCCCCTTATTCATTTCTCGTTGAACACAGGGTTTCCAAATTTCTGTTGGAATGGATTACATATTTTCACTCAGTTATGCATTTTGCTACAAACCCTCTCAGAACCCATCCTCTCCCTAAACTCTCCTCATATTAGCCATAATGATTTAGATACAAGTGTGAATATGAGTATTTTTGAAATATGAAGAGATCTCAATCTTAATGCAACCACATTGGCCTTAAAATTTGAACATGGTAGTTAGTTCTATTTTTATTAATTTATAATTGAAAAATTTACTGATTCTAACATTTCTATTTTTCTGTTTAAAGTGACACAAGAAATCAATTCACAATGGATTTCTTCAAAGGAGAGGATGACAACAGAAGTTTTTTCCTCCAATATGGGTAAACATGTTGAATTCAGTTTCATTCCCATTTGTAACTCACCAGCCATTGCTTCTCCCAAGATAACTTTGCAATGCACATAAAATGTTGCTTTCTTTAAAAAAATTAAATGAGAAACCTCTATGTAATTATATGAATCTGAAGAAGTCAGCAGTTACACTAAAATTCCTTATTTATGAAAAGATAACTTTGAGGTGGAGTTTGGAAGGGCCTTGCTTTGTTGTCCATACTGCATTTCTACTATTGATCTAATGTGACCTCTTTGTCTTAGTGTACCTCACTGCCCTATGTACAAAAAGTTTATCACTTTAAACGATGACTGTCAGAGTAATTTGAAGTAATAGGAGCTCACTGAAAAATGGACTCTAGGAACTTGGCAATAGGAATAATATTCTTATTACAGACTACAGTGGGAACACTGGGAAACTTTTATCTTCTTTTTGACAATCTAGTGTTTCATCAAAATAAAAGAAAGTTAAAGCCTGTGGATTTGATTCTCATGCACATGTTTATGGTCAATTCCTTGATTCTGCTTTTTAAAGGATTGCCCAACACTCTGGCACTATTTGATTTGAAACAATTTTTCAATGATTGGAGCTATCAACTATTTCTGTATATTCTTAGAGTTTTCAGGAGCATGTCCATTGCCACCACTTGCCTCTTGAGTGTCTTCCAGGCCATCATGATCAGCCATGAGAGATCCTGCTGGAAAAAACTTAAAGTCAAGTCTCCAAGTAACACTGGCCTCTTCATTTCTATGTGTTGGATCTTTTACATCATGGCAAATGCCATTTTTCCTGTGTACATATCTGTAAAATTTAATGAGAAAAACATAACAACAGAGACAAATTTTGAACACTATTCTGTTGTTGGTCATGACAAAACCACAGTCTCCTTATATATAGCTTTCTTTGTGTTTCCAGAACTTTTAATTTCTGTCCTCATCACCTGGTCCAGCAGTTCTATGATTGTCAATCTGTACAGGCACAAGCAGCGAGTCCAATACATCCACAACACTCATGTTTCCCACAGAAGATCCACTGAGTTGAGAGCCACCCACAGCATCTTGGCTCTAGTGTCCATATTTCTGACGTTTTATACCTTCTCTGCAATCTTATATGTTTGTATTGCTCTAGCCTATGGTAGAAATACATTGTTGGTAAACATCACAACAATCTTAACTCTGTTTTTTCCCAGTTTTGGCCCCTTCATTCTTAGAGCCAGGGCTTTAACCTGTCCAGTCCCTGCTTTCTATGGAAAAAGGATACAAAATCCCTGATGTGATTATATATAAATTGCAGATCACAGGATCAAATGTTTGCAAATAATACAGAATGTTTTGTGGTGAAGAAACTCATCTTTCTTTGATAAATTTTATGAGGCTTCAGGATAAGTTTAGTTGGTGTAATATGCACCTAACAATAGCTGAACAATGGAACATAGGCCTTTTGATATTTTAATTGACATTTTTACAGTCTTTCCTTGTGACAGGCTGCCTTGAGGAGAACTTGCTTAATATGTTTTGACCAAAGTATTGCTACTTTGTCATCAGGTGGAATGATATATTCTATCTTGGCTGCTCCACATATTTCATAAATGTCATAGTTTGTATGTAATCAACCCAATAATCACATAGCAAGGTACCCTATTAGCAGGTGTGGCTTTGTTCCAGTGAGTATGGAGTTATGGAGAAAGTATGTGGGCAGGCCTTGAGGTTTTCTCTGTTTAGAATACTGACCAATCAGTGAGTTGACTTCATGTTGTCTGTAAGATGCAGGACTCTCAGCTATTGTTTGCCTGTAGGCTGACATGCTTCCCCCATGATAATAATGGCATTAATCTTTGAAACTGTAAGTGAGCCAACCCAATAAAAATTTCTTTTCTTTAATGAGTTTCCTTGGTCATGGTGTCTCTACAGAGCAATAAAACCCTAAGATAATAGACATCCAAAGGAAGCTTCATTCCAAAGGCACAAAACACTGCAAACTAAGTTGCTTATTAAGACATGAACACTCACTACAGAAAACCTTGCTTATCTCAAAACTGCTCCAGCACACCAGTGTTGCAAACTCAGTGACATTCACAAACTCGTAATCAATTTAACTGTAGTTATTTCAAAGGTACAAGGCCCTTCTGCTCTTATCTTTCTAATATCGATATTCAATCAGGTCTGAAAGTAGGAATAACACCTGCATAGGTTTTAAGCAAAAACCCATAGTTGAAAAAGACTAAGTATATTTATACAAGGATTATGAATCAGATTTACAATCTAAGTACAGGCTTGCCATTTCCTCATCTGGGTATGGAACACTATATCTCTCATTCTTTTTAGACTAGTCAAGACAGCTTTTTCCTGAATTCCTCCATCACCAATGATGTCACCCTCATTCAGTAGACAATACTGCCTCTTTGCTGTCTTTATTAGGGGTAGAAAAGTCAGAGATGTTATTATGTAGAGAAGATGAGTCTTTGGAACTTACTTACACCAACAACCAGATTTCTAGAAATGTCAGTGAAAAAGAACAATGACAGCCTGAAAATTACTTAATAGTTATATAAAGTGACAATGTGAAGCATATGCTTTTCATGATGAAAAATATGACATTGCAAAGAAGACAAACTCTATTTAAATATCACTGCAAGGTTTCCAAAGATCTGAAAAGAGTTGGGAACCAAGAGCCTAACCTGTAATGACTCACAGCCTTATCTTTTAGTTAGGTTCAACTTTCTAATGTTTCAATTATATTCTAAAATACTGCCACTACAAAATTCAAGATGTTTTTCTTTTGGGAGAAAATAACATTCAGACTATATCAGTCAAGGATATGGCAAAGGATGAACAGTTAGGATAAAAATAATAACCATGGAGACTGATAGACGACAACCCAGGGTGTCTGCGAGGGTGAGGAGTACCCAAAAGGAAATTTTAGACAGCTTGGACTACAGGTAGTTATTTACATCGGATTTGAGAAAGTCAAATTTACAAACATTTTCAAAAGATTCATTATATTTTATTCATGTCTTCCTTTTCTTCTATTGTTTATCTACACCTATGTATTACAAGTGTTTTAACTCAATTCCACTTTATATCCACTGTCCCCTAAAAACAGATCATAATCCTATTGTAAGAAACTACCACTATCACTCAGATAAAAGGACATTGTATTAAACTGACACTTAATTATTATTATGCCCATTAATTAATCTCTCAGTTTTCATAAGACTCATTTTTGTAGATGACAAGTAACACAGATACTTGTAGGAATATTTCATTTGTATTTTAATAAATAAAGCTTACCTAAAGTTCAGAGAGTAAAACAGCTTCACTGGTCAACCTTACTCTCCAGGTAGTGGTGACAAACAACTTTGATCCCAGTAGCCACATTAATTTGCCATAGAAACCTGGTGATAGTGGTATACTTCTTTAATCCTGGAGAAGAATATAAAACAGGAGGAGACAGCTCTCAAACACAGTCTCATTCTGACATTCCTGGAGGCAGAATTACCATTTTGGACAAAGTTAGAGGTAAGAGCCAGTGTCTGGCTCTTTTGCTTTTCTGACTTCAGTTTGAACACCATTTTTTTTTACTAATATATCATAGAAAAGAATTGAGTTGTTGATAAGGTTCATTGAATGTATTTGATTTCTTGCTGGTCATTCTAAAGACATGTCATGAGTCCAAGGTTGAAGAACTGTGAATTTACTGAAGATACATAGTAAGAGCCCTTACGAAGTTCTTTAGAAAATTGACCTTAATAACTAGATTCATTTATGTGTTTTGTGGATCACTTTAGAATCATTTACATTGTAAAAAATGATGCTCACCAACAGAAGCATGATCACTCAGAAAAGTTAAAAGTCTTCTGTTCTCAAAATACTTCAAAGTGCCACTCACCTGCAGTTCTGCATTAACTGACAGTGAATCACACTCAAAGCAAGGTGATATGGATGTGATCAACTTGCCATATCTAGGAAAAAAAACGAATGTTTTAAATCTTCTTAAAACTAGCTGATAAGACCCCGGATTCATCTTTTAAAAATGATATCTTAGAAATGAAATGTACTCTATGACTGAAAACTAAGTGCAATATTTGCTACAATCCTTCAGTTTAAACAAGGAAGAGATGATGCAATGGAAAGAGAAAACACACAAATTATGTCTGCACACTGAGACTTGTGCACTCATACTTCACAAATGTGGAGTAAGTTTGAAAGCTGACAGTGACTAACATGTGTCTTCTGAACCACAGGATCTGTACAGAAACACACATTGTGAACACATTTAAAACATCAACTAAAACAAGGTACTTACTCTGATGGGTATCTAAAGCTTCTTCGTGGCAAAAGATTAAATTGAATACTGCTAATAAATGTGACAATCCAGGATCATACCAAGTTTACTTTGAATAATTTATTGATCTTTTTTTCTACTCTCACAGAGCAGTTGATTCTATGCACATCATGTTGTTCTGAATGTGTTCATCTATATTACAATCCTGCTATAATAATGCTCAAGTACCTACTCTGATTTACATAATTGTTTGATGTGGACAAGGGTTTTCTGTTCACTGTGAGAAAAAGACCTTCAAGAACAGTTGATAGATGGCTTCGAGAATGATAGATGGCTATTGCGGGCAATAAGGAGAGTTAAAAAAAATGATTACCAGTCTGTACCCAAAGAGATTTATCCTAAGTCTGAGCTTAGAAATACTATGCCAGGCAGAATTCCAAAAACTCAACCTACATACAACTTTTCCTCATAAAATATCATTGTATCATAAATGGATCTCATACTGTAAAAATATATTGTTCACAGATATAGGAAAGTGTCCCAATACACATTCAATCTGAATCAGATATATTTTTTGGTTTTGATTCCAGGAAAAGAAGCACAGTTGTAACGATGAAATGAATCATTGCCCTTTTACTTTTATATATACAACATGAAAACTAATTTGTATTGAGATAGTATGACATAGACACAGCTCACTGCTGAATACAAGAGAGAGCTTGATATTGGTACCTGTGTAAGAAAGCTGCTTTCTTACTGTCAACAATGCATCCAAGAGACTGCATTTTCTCAAAAGGTGTAATTTTAGGGAGATTTACCATAACTGTGGTAAGTGGATGCATTTAAAAGCAAGATCTTGAAAGTAATACTGTGACATATCCTCATTATTTCTATGGAAAATGTGAAAGCTTGGGAGAAATATTTATGACTCTTTCAAATGACCAAAGTTAATAAAACATAACACCAGGTTTATTCCTTTACTGTAGTTTCATTTATTTAATCTTACTGTAAACATCACTTCCTCTAATAAAAGACACTCATCTGTTCCCCTACTCTGAAGGATAGTAGGTTCATCTCCAAAATGTTACTGTACCACAGGTAGCACTGGGAGTGAGGGTGAGACCCGGGACAAAGTTCTGTGGTTCTGTGACTTCAGTTTCCTTCTGAACTTCAATTTTGGTTTCACTTTCAGTGGTCAATTCTCCACTGGCATTAGGAGGTAAAAAGTTTTCTGGAACTTTTGTTTAGATAATTACCAAAACAATTATGATTTGTAAGAGTTGTGAGAGTCCCCAAGGAAATATCAGGCTTGGCAAGGTACTTACTGTTTAACTGTTCCCAAAGGCAAAACATTTCATGTACAAGTTGTACAAAATATGTCTGTCATATGAGATATAAGTACAGAAGTCTGAGTGGTTCAAAAGACTCCAGCCTACAAAAGTTATTTTACCCAACAATTAAGCTGTTAAGTCTCTGAAACCTACTTGAGACATTTCAATCACCATGAAGACAAATGTAGTTATTCATTAATTCTAGAATACCTAATGAAATTTCAGTAAAATAAAAGGCATGTCATAATCTGAAGTAGGAATTATTTCTGTCTTTGAAAAACCTAATGCAAAATAATTAGAAATGCTGATGTAGAATTAGGATAGAAGATAGATTTCTTGCTCAAGAAATAACAGGAATTCTGAGCAGAGCCCTCTCTTAGAAGAGTTTACATAGGTAGCATTTCTAAAAATGAAGTCACATATTTACTAAGTATTACATAAACTAATGCTAACTTCTCAATCTAAAAGCACTGAATCGATATCAGTGAATTCTACAATTATATTTAATAAAGAAAGCAAGATTATTCATTGTTCATTAATTAATGAAGAAATTGAAATTTCTTGATTTAACATTTGGATTCTGTCCACTAACAACCCACCTTAGGGGATTCTAGGCCAAGAGCAAAGTTTGAAATAAAATCACTTCTGAAATATCT